AATTTGGCAATCTTAGTGCTGGGGTTTTCGGGAGGCTTGTAAATGGCGGTACGTTCGTGAATTGGGTTCGTGGCTGTATCGAACTCATCGAGTGGCTCGGGTGCTCTCGACCGGGATCGATGAAGTTGCGCTGAAGTTCGACCACCCTCTGACTGCTGGGACTCTATTGACGTGAGTCGTTCGGCTCTCTGCACGGCAAGTTCGTCCTCAAGACGATGGGCCTCTTCTCGCGTCTTGCTGGGGGACCGCGGGTCATCGAAGGATGTTCCCGTATCTCGACGACGTGTTTCCGCCTTCAGCCGGTCGTGTAACAGTTTACCATCGACAGAGTCTTCGTGTCTGTCATTTTCAACAGCCGTGAGATCGTCGTCGGAGGGTCTCTTGCTGGAAGGGTCGAACTCGAAGCGAGGCAGTTCTTTCTCGGGCGTGGTCATGTTGGGTAGAGGCACGGGTATGGAGAGGACTCTTTCTCTGAGACACGATCCTCCTCTTCACCCCTCCAATATCATATGCACATCAGAAGCCAGCCAGCGGCTCTGAAGACAAGGTAGCGAACGTGTGGGCGTATATGACGCAAAATATGGGTACCAATCCTGGGTGGATGGAGTCACACAGGCGTGAGATGTCAGAACTGGGGAAAGGATTTGTCTGAAGACTTGGTATGAATATCAAAGAGGGTCTACGCGATCATAGAATGTTGAAACGAAGGAATATAAGAGATGAAGATGATGAGATGGAAGAAATTACATCTGTGACGGAGGCCGACGTGCTGCGCATTCTCCCCTCATTCCCTTTATGCATGCTGCATGTCTACCTTGCGAGCTGGGGACTGGCACAATTGGGTACAAAAATCAACTCTCACTTGTATCAGTAGTTACGTATGGCCCAGAAAATAAGCACAGGGCAAGAAAAAGATAGATACCGCGAAAACGGAGCGATTCCCAGGGATAGGCAGCCCTTGCTCTTGGGGACCAGGTCAAGGGTGGGCGAGGTGGGCACCGGATGGAGTGCTTGTGCGCTCCACCGGGCGGGTTCCATGGCGAAGTAAAAGGAATAGGCGCCATGGATGGTGGGTAACCACTGCAAGGGCGGCAGATTCCCATCCCCCGAACTGCCAATCGTGCCACCCGAAGCCGCCCCAAGCCGTTTGTCATAGGTGGTTGACCCCTGGAAGAAGCCGCCCAGGACAAATGTTGGTGCTTGATCTTCGCTGGGAATTTTCTGACGGTGGCGCAGGTGGAGTGTTGAGCTCCCATCCTTGTTGCATCATTCTTCACCGTCGCCCCATCTCTCATAACAGCACACATGTCGATCAGTTCAATAGCTTGTTGGACGATCGAGATGAAGACTGAGCATTCTCGGAGAGTCGCAGACCTAAATGACCGAAAGCTTCTGTTTGTGCATAATACACAGTTGTTCTCTGTTATACAGATGGATATTTTACTTCTTCCGAAAAGAGAATCTGACTTCCCCCATGCATGACCTGGTTGGTTCTCGCTCCACGCGAGCCAGGTCCCCCAGTATACTTGTAGTTGAAGTCGATTACACATGTATGAGTACGAGGTTCTTTAAATAAAATCAGCCATAGCCAGATCAGCCGTCTTTCAGCTCGCTTACGAGTGCAACCGTGTCTAGGGAGGCCTGGAAATGCATTTTGTTCCTGATACCTATTGCCTTGGACGCATTAGGGCGACTATCTGAACCAAGCGTCGAGCATGTTGTGGCGCCCCTGGAGGAGGAGACGCCCAGCTCTGATCCAAATTTTATTTCGGCCTCTTATCTGTGTGTGGCGCCGGCGCCGTTATGGCCCTGGCGATTGTCTTTCAAGCCTTGTTTCATCTTTGACATGTGCTGCTTCTCGAGAGGCTTTAATTTGCGGTGTCGTTATCGATGCGAGGATGCCCAGAAAACCGGCATCCCTGAAACATGTCGGTAGCCAACATTCCCAGACACCAGATCAACCCCTGAGGTCGGGTCAGTGCAGGAGACGAAAATAATAGCTCGAGTTTGAGGAGGACAGAGCGAAAGAGTGACGCATTATTGATCGTCAACAATCTCGTGTTCGTACCTCGTAAGATCTCCAGGGATCAGATCATTGAGGCCCCCAAAATTCAAAATGCAGCCGAGGCTCAGTTAAAAACTTATTGAAAGCTCTTTGTTCCTGGAGATCACAAACGGATTGTTCGTCCTTTATTATATTGTCATGGATTGTTCAGATGCCACGATACACAAGTCTCGATGGAAATCAGGTAGCCTTTTGATGCCGAATGGTGGCTTTCCATGACCTTACTGACCATAACGGGGAGTCGGTTGTTACTGGTTTGAATAATGCGTCTCGTTCGTTGCCAGATTTACGAGTTCCTTTGGCATAACTCAAGCAGGCAGAGAACGAGTGAAAGCAGTTTGACAGCTGCAGGTACAAAACTGTGTGAAGGTACGAGGTACTCGGTGACTCGGTACGTGGACGGAAGAGTGTATGGACGGCCGGCTGAAAGTCTTGGCTTGTTTATCCTGTTCCGTCTTGCCTAATCGGACGCGCCAATTGTAAATTGATACACACCACTTGACCATCCGCGCACTTTAGGCTTGATTCTCTCCTTTGTTCTCTCCTTCATCTTGTGCACCGACAGATCTCTCAGAGGGTCGGCATTGGATAGTCTCGCATCCCTATTGTACTTTCACTGCGTCGTGCTCACAGAATCTCCACAGAATGCACGGGGAGGTAAGTTTCGAACATCGGCCTTTGTTGTTTTGTGTACCCCTCCATCGATCCCTGCCCAAAAACATCCGCACCACTCTATCTATCTCTCTGCATGCGTCCTTCGCATCAGCTACAGCTCTCTACTCCGAATCAGCATGTACTGATCTTTCCATAGGTTTGCCACCTGCATATTGGGCAGGCCGGCACTCAGCTTGGCAATGCCGCCTGGGAGTTGTAAGAACGAACCTTGCGCCCACCGCTACTTTGCATCACGATTGCTAATCCGCTTCCCCCAGGTATCTCCTCGAACACGGCCTGAAGGCTGATGGTCGACCTGATCCTGATGCCAACGTCGGCGATCCTGGAGCCTTTGAGACCTTTTTCACCGAGACCAGCAACAACAAACACGTCCCTCGGTCGATTTTCGTCGATCTCGATCCATCCCCTATTGATGAAATCCGAACTGGTCAATACAGACAACTTTTCCACCCAGAGCTATTGATTAGTGGTAAAGAGGATGCTGCAAACAATTACGCTCGGGGTCACTACACCATCGGCAAGGAGCTCGTAGATGATGTTTTGGACAAGGTTCGTCGCGTTGCAGGTGAGTCTTGACGCGACTTCATCCGAGAAAGACGCCGGAAACCCCTGACCCTTCGCTAGACAACTGTTCCTCACTCCAAGGCTTCCTGATCTTCCATTCCTTCGGAGGAGGTACTGGATCCGGCTTCGGTGCCCTGCTTCTCGAGCGGCTTTCGGTCGACTATGGCAAAAAGTGCAAATTGGAATTCGCTGTCTACCCGGCCCCACAGGTGTCGTCGTCAGTCGTCGAACCCTACAATGCCGTTCTCTCCACTCACAGCACCATTGAGCACGCTGACTGCACATTCCTGGTGGATAACGAAGCTGTGTACGACATCTGCCGTCGCAGCCTGGATATTCCTCGACCCGATTACGAGCATCTGAATCGCCTCATCGCCCAAGTCGTGTCCTCTGTCACTTCAAGTCTCCGCTTCGATGGTGCTCTCAACGTCGACTTGAACGAGTTCCAGACCAACTTGGTACCGTATCCTCGTATCCACTACCCGCTTATCAGCTATGCTCCTGTCGTGTCCACCAAGCGATCCTCGCACGAGAGCTTCAAGGTCCACGACCTGACGCTGCAGTGCTTTGAGCCAAACAACCAGATGGTCGTCTGTGACCCTCACAACGGAAAATACATGGCTGTTGCCTTGCTCTACCGTGGTGACGTTGTTCCGCGCGATACGAATGCTGCTATTGCCTCCCTCAAGGCCAAATCAAGCTTCCACTTGGTCGATTGGTGCCCCACTGGATTCAAAGTCGGCATCAACTATCAACCTCGTAAGTTTCTCGATGATTCTCGCTTGCTCTATATTAATTAACACTATCGTAGCCATGCCCGTTCCCGGTGGCGAGCTCGCCAAAGTCGACCGCTCCGTCAGCATGCTGTCCAACACCACCGCCATCGCCGAGGCCTGGAGTCGACTCGATCATAAATTTGACCTGATGTACTCGAAGCGAGCGTTCGTGCACTGGTATGTCGGCGAAGGTATGGAGGAAGGCGAGTTCTCCGAAGCTCGGGAAGACCTCGCGGCATTGGAAAAGGACTATGAGGAAGTTGCTAGCGACAGTCTCGAGGCAGAAGACGAGACTGGCGCCGAGTACTGAGTAATCCAACCAAGACCTAAGTGAATGAAATCCCGGAACTTCCTCATTTGCAATCACACAGACACGGTCAATTAGCAGATCACGGAGCTCCAAGTCATGCAGAGCATGAACGAAACCATACGGTCTTTGGACTAGAGAAGCAGATCCTTGACAGAATGTGCCCGGAGTGAGTTAGCCTACGATATGAAAGCATGAGACGAGTCACGGCAGCGAGGGAGTCGATAACACAGATTGAAATATTGATTGTTACCAGGAGAGATACCAAATTCTTGAGGATTGGTGACACTATTCAGAGGACTGCGAGCCCAAAGTGGCATCTTAAGTAGTAAATGAGAATCATCTCGTAATATTCGAGGCAGAGACGTAGAGGTCCGCCAGAGCATTGGCTCAAACGTGACAACAGACAGCCTTGGAGGCTTCGAGCACGTGACCGGGCTGAGTGCTTCTCCAAGTCAGTCTACACTTCATCCCCGCCTTGTCCTGCGGTAGGTAGCAAGGCCGTTGTTCTCGCATATATTGAGACCTGGTGGCCAGAATATTACAAAGTCTCGTGGCCCGACAATGACTTCGTCTATTCCATTCGCCATATAAGAGTCGCTTCGGGTCCACAATGTCAAATGTGACTTCTTCCTCCCCGCCGCAACAGCGGCCGTCTCTTTACCGTTCTCAATCCCATGCCAACTCCTCGAACAAGAACGATCCCTCGTCATCCAACCAACCTCAATCCGCAGAGCCGAGTGCTCAACCTTCACGACCCTCCCATGGCAGATCAAAATCTTATCTCTCACCTGCAGATCCTAAACCACGGAACGCCATCACGCTCCCTACTGCAACCAGTGCGTTCGAGAAGACGGCATCGCGCCTACACCTACCAGGAACCTCGCATCGACATCATCAGAAGGATAAAGACCACAACTCCAGTGGACACCAACACTCCCAATCACATTCTCACATATCACACCATAACAATGATTCAACACACAGTCTCACCTTCAGACGTCACCGCCCCACGCAATCCGAAGCACATCCCATCCGTCGATTCGCTTCAAAGGAGGCTCTCTCGACCCTCCCTCATTTGGTTGCAGGACTCAACGCGGAGCGAGACAAGCGAATACACACAGGAAATGTGCCCAACCCGATAAACCCAACAAATCGCAGTGCTGGCAGCAACGGTATCAATAGCACGGGTGCGCATTTCTTCGGTCCTTCTGCCGCAATATCAAGCGATTTCCAGGCCGGCGGTCGCTATGATTACAATGCGTCCGGATTTCCTGAACTACGCCGGCGTGCGACATCCGATCCCGCCTCTCGTGACAAAATCTCTCAACCAGCTCCAGCACATCCCCTCCGGCCTAAGACGTCGTTTGAAGAGGCCCTCGATCGCGGTGACGCCGCACGCGTCGCACGGCGCATCCATGTCAAAGTTGAGGATCTCCAGCGCCGCGACACCGAACTCCGAGCTGGTGAAGAAGAACTTCGATCCCGCGTTGCAGAGATAACCGCCACAGGCGTCGAAATAACTCGTCGATTAGACTATGGATACTACAACTTGCTCGAGAAGGTTGGAAGCCTCGTCAGCATGATCGGTAGTTTTCAGTCTCTAGCACGACAGACCGAGACATTGATAAGGAATTTTGAGCGCGAGAGCAAAAGGGTCGATGAAGATACACGCCGACGGGTCAAAACTCTGCAGGGGGGCTTCGAGGCCAGGCAGGTGAAGGCCAAACAATTGTCAGAGCGTGGAGACAAGGTGAGCGCCAGGGCGAGAGAGCTATCTGCCCGATTGGAGAAGGCTCGAGCGAAAGTGGAGGAATGGGAGAACCGGGAAGAGAAATTCCGCAAGGCATGGGACCGTGTGTGGGGAATCGTGTGGTGGACGAGCATTGCGGTGCTTGTTATCGTCCTAGCTGTGGTACTGGGCAAGGAATGGTATTTCCACGGAGATCCCGTGAAGGCCGGGCTGGGACAGCATGGTGAAGGGAACTGGAATCGGAGCCTGAGACTCGGTGGGACGGCGGGGGGCCAGGAGAATGAGAGACTCCTTCGACTCAGTGAAGGCGGTGACGGCAGCTCTCCTAGCGACCCCAGCGGCAACGAGAATGACACCGCCAGCGGAGAGAAGAGGCTGAACGTACCAGACGACGTGAGGGAGATTCTCTTAGGTATCGCTGAGAGGAACTACAGGAGGAAAAAGGCATTCCCGGAGGTTCCTAGCTTGGTGTTTGGGACGCCTCGGCTGACGACAAACACAGAGGAGGACCAGTGTCGAGAAGACCCGAGACTGGCCAGCTTGGACGAGCTCTGACAAGCGGAGCAGTTCACCAGTCATCTCTCTCTTTCTCTCCTCTGCGTATGGAAACGGAAAAGGAAACGAAATACAGCGTTCGAAGCGATGGATTTGAGTTATGTACGTTGCTCGCAGGCGTCGTTGATTTCTGTATTTGGCATATTTGCATATTTGCATATTTTAATTTGTGAAAGAGAGATACCCCCCCGATCTAGCTTGTCCCTCGCAAGAAACATTCCGTTGCCTTCTCTTTTGCGAGAGAGACTTATCAAATACTATTATCTGAATAATCTTCCCTTTCCCATCCTATCCTATCCTATCCTATCCGATCCTTTCCTTTCCTTTACTAGACCGAGAGACACATTAGAGAAGCCCGGAGGGGGAGACAAACAGAAGCCGAAATACATGTGTGTGTGTGTCGTTGGGACACGATGATTTCTATTCATCTATCTATCCATGTCCATATCCAGTCCCAGTCCAGTCCCGCCCAGCAGTACAATGTAAGAGAGGAGAGAGACGTCTCCATCTTTCTCTTCTTACCACACCAATAAAGAATTTCCCGCATCCTTAGACAGGGAGATTGTGCTTTATTTCCCCTCCAAAATAGAGAAACACCAACAAGCAGCCTTAAGTGGGTGTGAGATCAAAAAGCCAGGGGGAAAATCATCCAAACCATTTCCACCGGATAATACATTTCCTTCAAGAAGGCGACGACGATTCTTCCCCTTCGCCGGATTCCATCATAGATTAGATGACTTGATCGCATGACATGTTGTAGAGAGCTGAGTGTGTCTGATGGCAAATCGACAAGAGTCCTCATAGCGAGAGACTAGAATAGCAGTGATGAGCGTTGACGATCGATGAGTGATATCATCGGAACTTTGCCCGTGATGAAGTTTTTCTTTGAGAACACGAGACGCAGCAAGGAGGTTATGGGTGACTTAGAAACCTGAGAGACTTGTCCGGTAGCAAATCGCGAACTTGACCCATGCTTGACTGTTGCGATATTCACCCGGGAAACAAATCTGCCCCGGCGCCATTCACCAGAAGTAGGACGTGAACATGCGGAGCAGAAAAACGCAGGAGAAGAACCTGATCAACCACATCGCCTTTGTATAGAGAGAGAGACAGCAGTCGAGGTGCATAGTCATGGTATCATGCCAGGAGGTCATCTGCTGGCCCCATTGACACCATTCGAAATCTTATAGGCAACAACTGCCTTCTCTAGTGCCTGTAGGACATCCTTCTTGAGATCCTCTGCATCTTCGACACCGCAGCTAAGTCTGACAAGATCGTCAAATACACCAATAGCCTCACGTTGTTCCTTGGGAATACCCGCGTGCGTCATAGCACTAGGAACTTCGCATAGACTTTCGACGCCTCCCAAGCTTTCAGCAAGGGTAAAGATGCGCGTTTGTTGGCAGAATCTCTCTGCGGCAGCGTGTCCACCTTTGAGACGGAAACTGAGCATCCCACCACCCATGCCTTCGCGGTGCTGCTTGATGGCAATCGCCCTCTGCTTGTGAGAATCCAGACCAGGATAGTTCACTGCAATGACATGTGGCGAGGCCTCCAGTGCTCGAGCAACAGCTAGCGCATTTGTGCTTGCCTCTCTTGCTCGAAGATGCAGTGTCTTCAGCCCTCGGTGAGCAAGCCAGCAATCGAATGGTGAAGGCACAGCTCCAATGGCGTTTTGGAGAAAGGTCAAACGTTGCTTCAATTCGTCCGAGTTGAATGCAGCAACGCCCATGACGACATCTGAGTGTCCGTTGATGTATTTTGTCACAGAGTGTACAACAATATCGGCTCCATGGTCCAGTGGATTCTGCACGTAGGGCGATAAGAATGTATTGTCTACCACAACCAGAATGCCGTGTCTGTGTGCGACTGACGCGACATTCCTGATGTCAACGAGACTCAGTGTAGGATTTGAAGGACTCTCAATCCAGATGAGTTTGGTTTGCTCCCTGATCAACTCTTCAACGTCCAGTTCAATAGAAGGTGAAAATGTGACCTCCACGCCATGTGCTAGAGCCACTTTTGTGAAATAACGATGAGTGCCTCCGTAGACATCGGAAACAGATATGACATGTGAGCCCGCAGCGAGCGACTGGAGTATTGTCGCCGTGGTGGCTGAGCCGGAGGCAAATGCCAGAGCGAATCTGGCGTGTTCAAGTGCGGCCACAGCCTCTTCAAAGTTATCACGGTTTGGGTTGGCGCTGCGACTGTATTCATACAACCCGACAGGCTTGCCCACAGCCGTTTGTGCAAAGGTTGTAGACAGGGATAGAGGCTCGATGACGGCGCCTGTAGAGGGATCTAGTGGCGAACCAGCATGCACCGCCAGTGTGCCAAAATTGTAGACGGGGGAAGGGGCTCGAGCAGGAGTGACGATGCCGCCATCTTCGTTGGTCAAGATACGCTCGTTAGGTCGGAGAGGTCGGGGTGACAGAGGGACTTGAACTGGGACAGTCATGACGACTATGAGGTTTTGTTTCTCTCTGCTTTGTTACCAGAGAACCAGAAAAAACGGGTGATGGCGGTGTGTTCTGGGGGAAGCCGGATGCTGGTTGCGGGGTTCAACGAGGATGAGCTGTAGGTGAAGCACAGGGAAGACAACACAGATGGAATGGGGCACAAGTTGGAAGAGAGAGAGGTTATGTACTTGTTCAGCACTGGTTCATCTTGTTTGTAAGAAGAGACATTTTTTGGTCATCGATTCCTCTCTGATGGAATTCTCTGGTTTGACCCGCGGGTCATCATATCAAAATAATCAATCAAACAAAATGTTCAAAGATGACGTGCTTTAAGACCCAGGCATGCTCCAGGCACCACACACAGTTCTGTAAGCCCAAGAACGGCGACTGCCACCTGCGCCGTCAGACCCTGAGCGGGTGATAGGCTCCTCCGCGTTTAAAATTAGTGGCTCCTCTTGCCCCTATGCCAGCTTGACCAGCATGCGCGCCATTCAAGGGGCGTTGATGACAAACTCATTCCAGGGGCAGTTGCAGTAGTCGCCGCTTAATCACGGATAGCCCCGCCAAGTGCTTGGACAATTGTAACCACCGACAGCGAGTGCTTCCCTCGAACCACCCAATACGCCGAATCCATAAGGACTGCACCGACGTTCCAGTGGTCAATTGTGGTGAGCCAAATGCATGGGCCACTGCACGCTGTCAGATAATATCGACGAAATGTACAGCGCTCCTCTATTTGATTCGTTGCAGTTTTGTGTCACCACCAGTCCACGCCGCCCAACCCAGGCTCGCCCATTGACGCCTGGACCAGGTTAGAAATGCTCTCTCAGCTTATGGTCTGGATATAATACCTCGATAGAGTAGGGCACTCTATACTCTACCACCGGGGCAGGTTCAGGTTCGCCAGGTTTCCTTATCTTGGGAGGTGTTGGTGCTTGATCATTCCACTTTTCAGCCTCGACACGGACGTTGACGATGGTGCCTTCATCGAGATAGATTGGGTCGCCTTCAGTCTCCCAGACCCAGGTCTGTTCGGTCTCGTTGCTATTGACGGTTTAATATGGAGCTCGCACTTGTTTCACCGGTGAATCGACTCACTAGACACACCCCTCGAAAAGCATGGTCGGTGGGACAAAAATGTCGTCGAAGAATCGTGTTGTAACTTGGCGCCGTAGACTTAGCATCCAATGCTGAAACTGGTGCTTGGAACTTACTCCGAATGCCTTCTGGTGTACATTTCTGGATAACACCGGTAATGATCTCGCCTTTGAATGGTCGAAACACAATCATTCGAAATTGTACTTTGATTTCCCATTAGCCCCCGCGAAACGAACACAGCGGGGGTCCTCGAGCACCATTGACATTGGCATTTCCCGTGCCATTACCGATCAAGCCATCAGAAGCCTTCAAAAGGTCATACATGCAAATGCACAGTCCAACCTTCTGCACAACCTGGCACAAGGGTTAGAGACTGGAGATCAAGTGCCCTGGGTGAAGCAGACTTTGTTTGAATATTTTTCATTGATACGGTCTTCGAGGTCTTGTCGGGTAATTTGGTTGTTCACAAATCCATGTGGCGGTATCTGCACCAGGTCGTCGAAAGTGGTCTGTCGAATTAGCATTTCTCTGTGTTCCCGACCGAGCAGAGAAGTGAGGTGACCGTACGAGAATGAACATGTTCCTACGGTATGCGCAGAAGGTTCCGTGATTGGAATTCGGACAAGACGAAATGTAGCATGTTCTGGGACTCTGAGAAACAGGGTACACTGGAATGCTGGAACAATGGAATAGCGAGTGCTATGGGTGTGGCTTGGGAAAATCTTCCTGCATGTTGGAGAGACTTTGATAGAGGATCCGCTCACGCGCCGCTTTTAGCCACAATATGGTCTTGGCAGCCGCTTTTCCTCGCCACCATCAGGAGCGAATTTCATCCTCAACCTGCATTCCATCTTGAACGTTCTTGTGCCACCATTTGCTACTTATCATTGTCGCTGTCCTACGCCTTATATCCCACTATCCGCAGAAAATCCTTGCGCTTTGCGATGTCCGCTTCACCTTCGATGCCTTTGGGACTGAAGCCATCCACCACGCCTAGGATTCCTCGGCCTTGCTCTGTCTGGGCCACAATCACCTCCACAGGATTCGCCGTTGCGCAGTAGATGCGACAAACCTCGGGGACAGCACGGATAGCGCCGAGGACATTAAGAGGATACATGTCGCGTAGGAAAATGATAAAGCTGTGGCCGGCCCCAATGGCCATTGCATTTCGCTGGGCCAGAGTGACCAGCTCTGGATCCGTTCCCGAGTAGCGAACCAAGCAGACATCCGAGGCCTCACAAAAGGCAAGGCCGAACTTGGCCCCCGGGACAGTGTTGAATATAGCTTCATGAAGGTCTTCGACCGTTTTGATGAAATGGGAGTGGCCGAGAATCAGGTTCAGGCCCTGAGGGTTATCGATGAGGACGGTCTTGAGTTCCATGTGTGGTTGCTGAGCTTGACTCTTGAGAAATTGTTCGTTGTGTTGGAAGTTGTAGGGTTTTGCATGTAGTTTTACTCCCTTGCCTCATGTACTTGACTGGTTTTGAGGCCTGGGGATCAGGTGATGTTTAAGTCTCACCTGTTTTGACCACGTCCCAATCCATGCAGCCTCTTATCCTTGTGTGATGATCGCGTTAAACGTCGCGTGACAGACCGGCCGTATACAAGCAGGCTTTTCAATTCCAAAGAGACCGACGTGGTTGGATTTACTTCATATATATACTCGGTACCGGTGTCTACATCCGTATCTTGTTCCCTTGCTTGCTTCGTAGAACTCTGCAAACCCAAAGAACCCTTCTACATTTAAACCCACGACAGTAGAACATGTCAAGGCCTTGGCTGTTGAGACGGCGAATGATGCAAATACGTAAGGATGGAGGTAATTGTACCCCGTATTCAATAGCAATAGTAGTTGACTGGACAGGACAGTGGGCCAGCCGAGGAAGTGCAGAGCGGCAAGGGTTTCGGGTTCTAGCCTTATTTCTCAGCCTTGCCACTAGCTCAGCCTTGCATGGCGGGCACCGCCAAATAAATATTTGTATCAGTCAACACCACCCGACTCCGCAGCCATCGAACCATATACAAGTTTTGCTGCTTGAAATTCTGGGTGCAGGTACTTGTGTTGGTTTTCACGTACCCAAATGATTTACCCAGTACTTTAGCGTTGATAACTGCACATATCGTTGTGCTCTCTGGATGTCTAGCCAGCCCTTTTCCTTCCCGCCTCCGCCTCCACCTCCTCCCAAACGAACGGAGACGACTTTTCAGCAGAATCAAGCCTTTCAAAGCAGCAGAGGGTCATTTAGAGGTGGCCATCCCTCCAGAGGATATGCAAGAGGCGGGCGTGGAGGGTATGGCAGCAACCGTCCGGGATCAACTACATCGTCCGCAGTATACAATCAGAATTGGTCGCATAAGCCCTTGAATAATGGTCCACAAAGAGGAAGTTTTCTCAACGCCCCGCAGAAGCGCAATCACGGCACCGCATTTGCTCCGGCACAGCAACATCGCCCACGTCCTACGGCGGCGCCCGCAGTGCCTAGCTTTAATGCCTCGATCGAACACCTGTTGACTCGCGGGCCATCCGTTGACCAAACTAGCCAGATACCACCCGAGCCCAAGAAGGTAGAACCCAGAAAACAAAATGCTCTCGGACTGACCCCAGCGAAATTTGACCAAGACTCCGATCCAGAAGACGATGAAAATGAGGAACAGCGTCTGGCGCACACGACGACCTCGGGCGCGGCTGGTTACATATTCGAATACAGAGGGCATCCTCTAGCTCTGCGGACTCGAGAAGAGATATTGGCTTGGATTGGAGAAAGAAGACGGCGTTACCCAACACAAGCGCGGATTGCGGCGGCGAAGAAGGAAGCCGAGGAGAAGAAACGAAAATGGGAGGAGGAGCAGAAGGTGAAGCGTGAGGCCAGAAAAGAGGTCCTGGCCAAAAGAGAACAGGAAAGAGCCGAAAGACTCAAAGCCATCGGGAAGGTGAAACAGCCACGCGAACAGGACCAAAGCGTTCAGACTGGTGAGGGATCCGCAAATCCAAATGCCGCCGCTCGAGCGAAATTGAAGGCCGATAAACTTCGCAAGAGAGCTCTCAAAGCACAACAGGAGTTGGAGAAAGCGGAGGAAGCATTGAGACTTGCAGAGATGAAAGAAACCACATCGCCAGACTCGAGCGCTGCCACGATACCCAGTCGGCTTCCTACCACAGAAGCAGGCGACGTCACGTCCAGTTCAGACCTCACGGACTCAGACGCCACCTCATCCTCTGGCTCGTCTACAAGTTCCGACTCTGATTCCGATACCGACTCGAATGCTAGCTCTGATTTGGACTCGATTCCAGAAGTTACAAGCACTAAAGAGGCCTCTCGTGCACATGTCTCTCTTCCTTTGCAACCACAGTCAAGACTGCATGCGCCCCAAGTCTGCAAGCATTTCGCCAGGTACAAAACGTGCAAATGGGGATCAAGCTGCCGCTATTCTCATGAAATAACTCGGAAGCATGGAAGAAGCGACACGGGAGCTACCACAGGCCAGCGCAAACCTACAACAACCACGGGTACCAGCAATATAAGGAGGAAGGGATTGTATCAGGTCATGGTGGAAAAGGAGCGAGAAGAGAGTAGGAAACGCCTGCTCAGTGCCATCATTGGCCTGGGAGAGAAGGGACTGCTTGAGAGTCCAGCGCAGAAGGCAGAAGGCATTGAATAGGTGTGTAAACCGTTCTTTCAGACTTTGTTTTACTGCTGTACAGAATTCTACCAAGCAAGCGTTCAAGCCCTCAACAACGACATGGCAATTGCATGCTGACTTTATACATGATTCGCATCTTCCTGCCCAGATTCTCTCCGAAGCACACTCTCTATAAACTCGCGCGCTTCTCTCCCTTCCCGGATCCCCAGCCAGCCCTCTCCGCCCGCAAGAGGGAAACAGTGCATCTGGCCCTCCCACACCAGCCACTGCCCCGTCAGCCCGAGTCTTTGGCACTTGTGCATGAATGCCATTGCGTCCGGCGCCAACACGTCGTGCGTGCCCAAGACCCCGTGCACGTGTACCTGTCGTTCCTTGAGGGCGTGGAAGGCCGCGTCGGGGTTGAGGAGGGGCGAAACGCTGGGGTCGGTGAGCGGTGTGGGTTCGTGGGAGGGAGAGTTCTGCTTCTTCTTGTTCGCCGTGCCGTTGCTGTCATCGTTCGCGGTCCAGACCTGCGCGACTTCTCGTGTCGTCTTCTCCGTCAGGAGACAGTCCAGTTGATCCACCTTGCGGATTTCCGGGTTGGTGTTGGTCAAGTCTGTGGGACCTGAGATGCTGATCAAGGCCGTGAGTGGGAATTTAGCCTCTCTCGTCCTTGTTCCAGGTCCCTCATTGGTGAGCTTGGTCAAGTCGTTATCGCCGTCATCGCCAGTAGCAAGAGGTGTTTCCGTTCTAGAATGGACTTGCTGGCTCTGCTGCTGTTGTTGTTGTTGTTGTTGTTGTTGTTGTTGTTGTTGTTGTTGTTGTTGTTGTTGTTGTTGTTGTTGTTGTGGTTGTGACGGTCCAATCCCATAATTCTGCACGGCCCAGAATCCCAGACTCAGGACGACGTTCCCCCCGCTGCTATCACCAGCCAGACTGAGCGTGTTTCCCTTCGCGGCCACCTCGTCCATGACCGTTGTGAGCCACTTTCTGAGGATCCTCAAGCTCTCGCTCGCGGGATTTTTGGGGGCCAGTGGATAACTGACGAGGACCAGCTCGATTTCGGTGTCGGTGTCTTTGTGAGGGTCATTTGCGTGTTTGCCACCATCGTTGACGTCGACGGGTGAAGTACTACTGGACCGGTGTCTCGCGAAGTCTTGCGCGAGCTGTGCCACGAAGCGCCAGTGTTCGGAAGATGGGGGCGATTGGAACCCGCCGCCGCAGAAATAATAGACGTGGTGGACGCGTCTTCCTGGCTCTCCTCCACCTCCTCCTCCTTCATCTTGTCCCCCTCCCCTTCGTCCTCTCGCCTTCCCCCCCTCGCCCGCGCGAGCGTTCACCCGATACCGATACATCCACACGTCGGCACACCGCGTCTCGGTGATCTGCACACCCCGCTTCCTCGGCGGCGACAGGCGCGGCGACCCCGCTGGCTGGGCTGACCCGCCGAGCTGGACGAGACGGGGACGCAGCGGTTTCATGACGGCACGCAGCGCGCGGTACAGGAGCGAGAGGTCGGTGCGTGTGGTGATTTGCACACCGCCGCCGCCGCCGAGATGCTGCTGCGGTTGCGGTCCCGGTCCCGGTCCTGGTTGTTGGTCATGGCGATCGCCATTGGAGTTTCTAGAGTGTGTTTCCGCTCTCGTTGGCGCCGTCGCAGTCGCAACGGCGGCCGCGGCCATAGCTATGGCTATGGCTATGGTCGGAGGAGTGGCTGGCTAGCTGACTAGCACGTACCTATCTATGTATGATAGGTCGAGGTCGAATGCGTGTCTTTCTATGCCGGGATGGCGGTGACGACAGTGATGATGACTTTGTGCTCGATATCTCAGATGTCTTCCCTTTCCGCCTTCTTACCAAAGAATGCCGGTCAAGACGAGACGAGACAGAATGAATGAATGCCACCGGTTGATTTGACCAAGCCGCTGTACGAGGTACAGATTGATTGATTGATGGGGCTCTTCTGTGTCGCTACAAAGCCCCCTAGACATGTACCTACATACATACACGCACAAACACACGTACATACATATCAAGTACGAGGCGCATGTGTATATTGGATTCCCAGAATCCCAGATGTGCGTCCATCTACCCACCACCCTCACAACCCCTGTGCGTCTAATTCTACCCCTAGATACCTAGAACCCTGGGAGTAACCAGGGTGGGAAAAAAAAAGACTAAAAAGAGTCGTCGACGTCATGACCTACTGTACCTCCCTGGGCTGTGCACCAAAAGTGATACAAGGCTGGAAAACCTGCTCTTGGAGTGAATCCACCGGCTGCGGGAGCTTTATTTGGGTGTGGCTGATAAGCTTGTGAACTGAACTAAATGGTGCCGAGAATGGGTTGGAGATCAGCTGGCTTTTCTGATTCGATCTCTCTTTCTCTTTCTGACTCGATCGCCAACGAGGACACCATCAGATAAATAACGATGAATAACTGCTGACTGCCAAAGACATAACTCCAAAAAAACCATGACTGTGTGTGCCGTCGACATCTCGTCTCCAAGAAACGATTGATATCCAGAAGGATCCAAGGTGCCAGCGTGCACTCGGTGACAATTAATCCCCCTAATAGACTTGCGCAAATCCCAGTCCAGCCGAAAAACCAAGTCCATCCCTGTTACCTCTTTTCCTAGTCTTCCGAGTTCCCTGACCACATAATCCCAGCGGACATTGGGATCGTGGTCTATTAATCTGTTCAATCCAGACACCGGCCTCACCTCCCTACATGACTCTTTCTCGCTCTTGCTCTCATTGTCTCGAATTGAATCCTTGATAATACTGATAAACGGAGTTTTCAGCCGTTGCTTGGAATGCTTGCCAAGATCGCCGAGCTTGGTGGTTGTGGTGTAGGGTGGGTGTTGGCCACGGCGGAGGTGCTTGCGGTAACCCGAGAAACATAGGTAGCATTGGCGTGTCTCCCACATGGTATGTTATTTCAGTAAATGTGTGTTGGTCTGGAGAAAAGGGCCTAAATAATGGCTCTAATATAGGCAATCTGGGAGACGCTGTTGCCTGAGTCGCAAGACTGTTGTCGGGATTCGGGACAAGATCAGGGGTGTTTAGAGGTCCATAAATCGACCCGGACTCACCAGATACGGGTTCTGGAGGTCTAACCTCGTTATTTCCGGCTTCTGTCATATCCGTTTTGTTGTCTCCATGCCGGGTCCAGGTCCGAGCAAGAGGAGAATGTAACGGAGGTTGCGTCGTCTCCGTTATCGTTCGTGTTCCTGTATCTCTATAAGACTCTGTTGTGGACTTCCCTGAAATTACTCGTGAAGCATTTGGAGATGCATTCCCGGAACGGCGAAGTACCTTAGGCCTCTTGGACCGTCGGGAGCAAGAGAAGTTCTGTGTATCGAGTGAAGTCGATGATGAAGGTGCGTCTGGTTCAATATAGTCGAAGTTAGCAGGAGGAGCCCATCGTGGTTGACGGGGTATCACGCCGGAAAAGCGTCGCACCCTCTCTTCCATGTCATACAAGGCCTGGAGACATTGACATGCAGACAAGCTGGATGTATCTACTCCACACTTGTAACAGAAACTTGCACCGCACGAGCACCGAATCTGGTCGCATCCCTCTGTCCTCTCGACCAGATTCTTGCAGCTAGGACATTGTTTCCATTGCTTGCTTCTGGCAAGTTTGCAATCCCTCTCGTCCATCAGCGCCTCAGGGCTCTTGCAGGTAGTTCCTTCAATCCCGACATGGTCCGAACGTCCTTGTTTGCATTCGACACAGGTCTCGGCTCGGCACTTGCTGCACAGGACAAACTTTTCCTTGTTGTCCTCAATCTGGCTTGGGGGAATGTGGAGACTGCAGAATTTGTTGGAGCAATAGATTGGGTTGCGGGTTGAGTACTCTTCGCTGACCTCAAGGTAGCGGGAAAGGACTTCCTCGTCAAGATGCTGTCGGATTGAACTTACATCCATGGGCCGCCCAGAAAAGCAGCATGTCGGTGGCCATTGGATCCTATTTGCGGTGCCGACCCTGACAAGTTCATTGAGACAAAGTCGACAATAGGTATGGCCACAATCCAGATAAATGGGATGTTTCATGGTGTCGAAGCATGCTCGGCAATTCATGAGAGCGTCGCCTTCGGGGGTGGAAATTCCAGCGCGCGGCAGTCTGCTCCTTTTTCGATTCATTGTAGACTGCTCATGCATCCGACGTATCCTAAACGACCCCGAATGAGTATCCGACAGCCTGTCCAGAGACTCTTCTGGCAAACCTTCATCTCTGACGGCGGTCCCAGAATGTAGCACACCAGTGGTGGAGGGGCCCAAGTCCTGCCGTGGTTGGCTGGTGACTTTGTAACTTGGGTCTGTTGTCTCTTTGATAATTTCGACGTTGACCATGGTCTGTTCGAGAACTTCAACGTTGACCAGGGTCAAGGTGTCAATTTCCCCGCTCACGAATCTGAGAAAAGGCTTGATTTGGTCCTCCGTTGTTTGAGCATTCCCCTTCGTTCCCGTTCCCGTTTTCGTTCCCGTCCTGCGTAAGGTTACAGCAGGCATGGCGGAGACACGGTGGCTTGAGGCTTCCTTCGTAGCAAACTCATGCGAGGTATGGCTAGTCTGGCCCTCTGTTCCTTGTATTGTTCCACTGTGCGCCATCGGCTGCAATGTGTGGCGTATTGGAGGAAGAGAAGTAAACTCGAGCGTCTCCCGCGGTTTGAGGGGCTTGAAGGGAAGGGTGGACTCTAGAGGTAGTAGACACGAAGAAGATAGGTCACAAGATACTCAAGAAGAACCAGAGAGCTTTCTTTTGAGCTTGGTCAAGGCGTAATGAGCGCACGGGTATTCAGCCTTATCAAGCTAGAGCTAACAACGTAAGTTACAACAAGACATGGATGGAAGACTTCTCACTTGTAAGCAGAGAAGCAAAGTGGTCACGATTGAGCACAAGTGCAGGTGATTATTGGGAAGAAGAGGTGAATATAAGAGGAGATGGGCATGTCACTGCAGCGGTGCCAGTGGTGCGGTGGTCGAGGTTCAAGTGGCGGGAGAAGCAACCTGCCTGACAGGCCTAGCACCCTGCACAGTGGCTTCACTGGATGCGCTGCTGTTGTGCTTCTCTTGGCGGCTTTGGATTCATCAGGTGGAAGGCAACCAGTTTTCTCACTTCCTCATCATGCGCCCTGAACCAGAGTCTCCTTTCGTTTCGGCACAGTCGATGTTCCACATTGTCTCCAGGCAGACCGTCCGAGCCTTACACCGTTAGCCGCTCCCTCAATCTGTGCAAGATGCAGGCTATTCGATGATGAAAAGCAAACACGAGCAAGAGGTGGTCACATTTGAATTGGACAGTCGACGGGAACAGAACCTGCGGTCTTCGCCTGGCAGGCGACATGAAAGAACAAAAGATGGGTAGTTGCATTCTTTTCTCCATACCGGCGAGGATTTGCCTCAAACTTGGCCTAAATAGGGGTTTTCTGGGGATCTTTGTCTCGATCCTTTAGCATTCGGAATGTTGCGGACCGTGGGATTCAACAGCAGACAATGTAGGGGCGCTTGAAAGACTACAAACATGACTCTTGCTTCATTATGGCAGTTTCTGTGGCGGTGAAGTTAGCATTCTCTCGACTTCTGGATCATGTGTGTTCAATTTGTCTGGTGATCATTCCCTCGTCACTGCTGGCGCGTCTGTTACCGGACCTGCTTTGTTGTTTCACACGAATACAATGTTCCGCCTGTTGGTTACTGTTTGTTCGTCACCATTGTTGCTGTGTTTCTATCCTGTTCTTTGCCTGTTTCTTCCCAAATCTGTACGTGCGTCCTCAACACCGAGCTGCTGGCGCGTCATCAGTGCATCTAACATTGCGTCGATATATTGCTTAACCACCATCTGCTTCCATCTCAAACACAGCCATGTCTCCCCTGAACCCGTGCCCTGGCGACGAATACCATATCGGCTCCTCTCCCACCAAGACTCGGGCTTTTTCTGATAGTGACAGTGCTGAGGCTGTCACTCCCATCTCATCTGCTGCTGCCCAGTCTTCCACTCCTGCCGAAAGCGAGACTAGCGGGTCTCTGTTCAGCGAAGGAACCACAGCACTGCAAAATGAGCTTGACAGAAGACTGGAGGCCTTTGTTCTGGCTGAAGAGACAGTGCCTCCCCGCGGACAGACAGCGGCCGATCTCCCCACCAATGTGCCTGCGCCAACTTCTGGAGATCCATTTGGATTTGTGTGTGCTTTCGGTTTCACCGGATCATTCGACGAACCATCTGTCGTTCCCAGGACCAAACGGGCCTTCCTCGACGCCATCAGAGGTGAGATTGAGGGAATCGGTATGACGCAAAGAGGTCTGCAATCCTACCAGACGGCCATCAATTCGCGAAAGTATCATACCTTCAGCACCAAATTTCTGATTGATCAGAACACCGCCACCGTGATCACCATCGATCAATTGGATCAGATAACCACCCACCTGAAGAAAGTTGAGGAAGAGGTTCAACATATTGAGAATGAAGATGGGGAGGTCAAGGATGAGCTTATGGAAGCCTTTAACCATGCCCGACCATGGGTAATGCGTACACGGGCTCTCCTGCGACATTGCCATGTTTTCTACAAGCTCAACTTTGTCCTGGCCACTGGAACGGAGAGTATGCTGCCTTGAAAGAGGTGGCCATGACCCAGCGCGACAGGTATACCTCGTTGGGAAGGTGTAACAGATGTTTTCCCATGTTCGTTCAAGGCTAGCGATTCCATGTCAAGTGCCTGGAGGGTCCAAGGTAGCCATTAGGAGTGTGACAACGCTGTGACGAGGAAGAAGTGGACTTGTGCTGATAGTGAAGTGAATGAAGGTCTTTTCGTATTTTGTGACGCTCCTTCTCATGCTCGCCATGTCAATCGAGGCTGCCGGTGAAGTCGAGCACCGCCTCTGCAGCCCTTATCTGCACTTTCTTCCGCATAGCCAGATCATCTTGAGCCCACGGAGATTGCTTCATTGGCTGCGGTGACCGTTTCTTGGCCACGGACACCATTCTTTAGCAGGAATACGCAGCCCAACGATAAGCCAACATCCTGCAGCGGTGCTGGAAACGAGCCAGACAACTCAACCGAGCCAGTAGAGCATCCAATGGGCTGAGAAGCGGTCTGGCTCCCTCTTAGTCAGTGCCCAATTGTGCTTTTCTCTTATCACGGTCCTACAGAGGTCCAGACTGACCGAGCCACTCTCTGTGCCTCCGTTTCTGCCGACTTCCCAACTCGTACCGACTTTTTCTTTAGACGATGGATCCAGGATACGAAGAAGAGCCCCATAAAAGGATGCATTGGGTGTCTGGTTCCAGGGTGACTCAGGGTTCAACGGGTGGCGCTAGCTAGGCATCGAGGGTTGGGATCTTCGATCAACCCCTGCTGACTCTCACGGCCCTGACATCCAGACCCCCCTCTCGGGGAGATGATGCTAACTTGCTTAGGCCCCGAGTCCAGGCATCGAGGGGTAAGCAGTGGAAACATGGAGGGGCAGCCAGAAGTGTTAAAAAAAAAGTTATAAACAATGGGGACAATCATGGAAACAAAACTGGATGAGTTCGTTGCCTGCCATGGAATGGCGACTGATGACCTGCCTGCTGACGGGCCGTCTTCAGGACTCTGGTAGCTTCACGTGTCATTCGCTCCCGTCCTCAAATCTCAGCATCTTCGATCTTCTCACCGCCAGAAGCTCTTCCCATGGCGTGCGTGGGTCGAGTTCACGCGCACGCGAACTGGACCCCTCCATCGCTCAAGGCTAACGGCACCGAAATGCGGCGACGTGCGGCGCCATGCTTCATCCAGCGGGCCGTCACCGACCCTCTGGCGTTTTCATTTGGCGTCAGGATCAATCGGTGAGGACCATGCTTGCCCTGATTGGGCCTTTGACAAACGACGTGGCCTTCAATTCTTTCGTTTTCAGGCGTGGGGCTTGCCTCAATCAAATTGTGCAATCCACACTGCTCCCAATTGAGGGTTTCTGCAGAAAGGGGTGGTCTTTGAAGGAAATGAGGGGTGGAGGGGTAACCATGACGGCAGTGATGACGGGTTATATAAACACCATCCAGGGGGGCACGACCTTCTCTTTTCTCTTCTTCTTCTTCTCCCAGCTCCTCAAGCCCAAGTCCTCACTTCAGACCCTTTTCCAGCCAGATCCTACTTAAGTCTTCCCATCTACAACCAATTTCGAAACACAGTCACCATGGCCGACGAAGCTACCAAGGCTCACCTCCGCTCCAAGTTCGACAAGCTCACCGCCGATGACTTCAAGGAGGTCGCAGGCAACAAGGACGCCCTCATCACCAAGGTCGCTGAGAAATACAGCATCTCCAAGGAGGAGGCCACGAAACAAGTCGAGGATGGCTTCGCTGGCAAATAAGTAGCCAAATGTCTTTGGCGCGACGGTTCACCTCTCCAAGCTCTACCTCTCGAGCCCTCAGTTCTTGACCGGTTTCTACGCCAACGGGACTGCAGTCACATCCTCATACTTGGAAGCAAGCGAGAAGACAAAAGGGAAGAAAGACAAGTTTGGAAATGTTACATACCGTACCCAAAACAAGCTGGGATTGATTCTCCATAGCGAAGGAGTCAGAAAAGCCTACAATGCGCATACCTTGACAAGCTTCACAGAAATGATAGAACGAAGGGAACATGCATATGCTAGAAGTACCCAACTGCACCTGTTGGAGCTTTAGGTTTTCTGTTCTTGTATTGCCTGTTTGTCTGTTGGTGCAATTGGTCTGGTTCACCACCACATGACCGACGCCAAACGCGCTCGACGCTTGATGCTGTGCTCCCCCTTTTTTGTTTCAGCCTCACGCATGGCCATGTGTTGTCGTTTCCCTTTCCAGCACCTGAGGTATCATCGGCTGTCTTTGTCTCTCTGCCACGCCACGCCATGCCTCGTCTGCCTATCTGCCTATCTCTCTGTCTATCTTGTCCTCTTCTTATCCTCTCTTCTATTCTTTTTCTCCTCTCTTGAGTGGCGACGCGCCCTGACGTCTTGCTCATGGAGGGGAGGTCCTTTGACTCGACTCGACTCGGGCGTTCGAGAGACTCACACGACCTCCCTCCCTACCTATCCACCTAGGTACCTGGGCCGCTGTCTCGACTTCCATTCATCTCTCTATCTGTAGATGCCACCGCACCGTGTCGCGTCAACCAGCTCATGCAATGTAATGCGATGTAATGTCGTCTAATGCAGTGCAAAGCAATGCGCTGGCTGCAATGGCTTAACGACTACTCCGTCGACCCTTTTTCTCCCGTCTCACCACCCCCTGTTTCCCCAACGGTCTCCGTCCCGGTCACCGTCCAGCGAAATCTCAATGCTAAAATCCTCAAATCCGGAATTACACAGGCAGGTATATCCACCCTACACCTAACTATATCATTGACGTGGTACGTGGTGCCACTTCGCCATCCTACTGTACCTACCGTATCCATTGCGCTACATATGTAGGTAACCATGCCACTTATCAAGTAAGTCAATTAGCAGCCACGGCACACGTACACGGACCTCGTACACGAGCCAACAAGCCAGCAAGCCAGCCAGCCAGCGCATCCTCAATCCTCGATCCTTGATCCTCCTCTTCTCTCCTTCCGCCCCCTCCATATCACCCTATCACTGGTGTGTGCTGGGGGGTGGTACGCGGTAAGCTGTGGGCATGGACTGTGTGTTTGTTTTTGGCATGATTACCTCGTACCTTATACGCGGTACTCGGTACTCGGTTCTGACCCGACTCCCATATGTGCCTGAGGTGGCTGATGGCACGGCACACGCACATGGGGTCGTACCTCGTCTCGTGATGGTACCACCACCACCCCCATCACCACCACCAGTGACCAATAACCAACAGCCACGGTCCTGTGCCACCAGACCAGTGCTGCTGCACAAGACCCTCTACTTACTGTGGTAATTGTGCACTGAACCCGAAAAAGGCATAGATTCAGGAGCTGGCAGAATCCAAGGCGAGGACACATTCAAAGAACTCAAGTGTTCATTTCTATACCGTAAAAATACTGAAAAAGTCAGATATACTAGGGACATGATTCTTGTACAGCTCAGAAAGCGCCCGCCCGGGTCCATCTCTCCCTCCTTCCCCCCCTCCCCCCCTCTCTCTTTCATCTCCAGCTTTCAACGACCCTGTAAGACGGTCTGGTAAAATAACGACAGGTTAAGAATATGGCCAAGATTCGCAGCCTCTTCTCTGCGTCAAGACAGGCTTTGCTTGACTTGCTGGCCAAGTGTCATGATCCTGTCGCCCCAGGCAACACTGATCCTGCCCACGATGAGCCCTCAACAGAGCGAGCAAGCCTTGGGTCAAGCTGCCTTCTTTTCTGTCCAATGCGTCGTGGTTTCATGATAGCCCGAGAGAGATCTTTCCCATGCCCTTTTCGTTGCCCATGGTCATTCAAACTTCCTCCTCGTCATCCAGCCCATCTCCTAACAACTCGTCATCCTCCACAACTTGGGAGTAATCTTGACCTCTTCTTGCAAAGGCATCTCTCGAGCGGTAAGGAGCACCATAGCCAGCATTCGATCCTCTTCCCACACCAAAACGTCCGCCTGAACCACTACCTCCACTCCCAACAGGCATATATCCTTTTGCGCTTCTCCACAAGCTCATCACCAGTAACGGCATTGCCTTGGCCACCGCGACCACGCCACTCAACACCACCACAGGCACCTTGATCCACAGCGGGTCGCTACTTGCTCCAGAAGACGTTCCAGAAGCACCCATGCTTTCTCCCAGCCGGATTTGGCCAAATGAACCGAATCCGCTCTGCCACCTCGTGTACACCCAATACCCAATACCCAGGGAGGCTGCGATTGGGACCACAATCGAAAAGAACAATGCCACACCGGAAATGCCATGTTTCTTCTTGTATTCCTTTTCATGACCTGGGCAAGGTCTAGATTCGAGCTTGTCCAGCTCTCTCCCACCTTGGCACGTCGTCAGCGGTATTCTCCTATATCCTGTGGGATACCAAAACTCGAGTTGATCAGGGTTGTCTCGACACTTCTGCTCGTGATCGGCCGGTTGCAGCCCCGGTACCAGCTGACATGTTCCGTCGGCTTGTGCCTGGTAGTTGTAGTCACATTCAAAATCCTGGCGCGTGCAAGAACAATTCTTTGCGATATTGTGGAGGTGGCTGATGATCTTGCCATTGTAGCATTTGGCATCGGCCCGTTTGCGGTGATATTGAGCCACATGACCGAACAAGCAGTTTGATGCCTGCATAGGATGCTTGGGTTCCCAGAGCGCGTAGTCACCCTTTTCGGGGTTCTTCTCATCGAGTTCACACTTGACTTGACGTTCTTCGAGGCCGGAAAAGTCCAGATGCACGGTGAAGATGCCACGTTTGGCGTTTCCTCCTACCTCACGCCCCCAGAGGAGGAAGTTGCGGGAGTTGTCTGATGGTACGGTGGTGATCGCATCAATCTGCATTTCCACATCCGGGGAGAAGACGAACTCTCGCCACGTCCTACCCTCATCAAGAGTGTAGAAGAGAGATTTGGTGGGTTGGGATTCCTTGACAATCACGATGATGCTGCCCTGATCGCCATACTCCCACATGTAGCTGCCCTTCTTGACGGATTGCCAAGTGATACCAGCGTCGCGAGTGATGAAGGTGTCTGTGGCTTCATCATCCTTTCGAAGAAGATGCTCTCCGACGTTGCCCACGGCCATCATTAGTCCAACTGCACTAGGGCTAGAGAATGTGGCTGACTTGTCCACACGTTCGGTATAGCTGTGAATGTGCAACGAGCATTTTGCAGTGGCCTGGTTGGCCTCTTCCACACAAGGGTAGTTTTTCCCCAGCGCATCCTCTTTTGGTGGAGGGAGATAGGCCCATTGAGCACCGTCATTGTGGGTAATCATCGACTTCAGCTTTTTTCTCTCCCCGTTGTTCGTCTCATCTATGTTGGACACGACATTGACCATGGCGACTCCTTCGAGACCTTGCATTTTCTCAAAATCGACGTACCCTTCAGTGTCCCGGTTCACTCCACCCAGGGTGAAAACGTAGGATGTACCGTTGCTGTTGGACTTGATGATTGCACCATACTCGTGATCTTGAGCAGCATTCACGGTTACGTGGAGGAATACAGCATGAGTAGAGCTGTCCAGAACCGTATAGGCTTGTTGGTGTTTCACTTGGAAATTTCGAGGAAATTCTGCAGGCGCAAAGGTTCGTCCATCTACACTTGCGTCTACCTTCAAGCTCTGCTTGTCCTCTGTCTTTGCGGCGACGATAATGAACTCCGACATGGTCGCAAAGTCCAAAATATCAGGAAAATGCACCTTTGATTCGGCAAAGAAATTGTCGCTGGACAAAAGCATGAGATTCTTGTCCGGGTTTTCATCTTGATACTGTTCACAGTAGATCAACTGATCGCCTTGGCCTTGACCTTCGCGAGTGATGAATTCGCATTTTCTGGCGTAACGGACCAAAGTATCCCAGTGGTCACCGCGGTCTTTAGACAACCAAATGTTGGTATGGTCGTCATTCCCAACGGCGCCTGACCAGAGTAGCCAGTCCTTGTACCCAGGGTGAAACCGTAAAGTGGGGAGGCGTAGAGTGCTCGGTCGTTCCGGCGCAGTAAATTTGTTGAATCTGTCTCCTCGGTCGATGGTGTAGTGAACTGTTTTAGAGCCTGTGAGGAAAAAGACGGCATCGTGATGGTAAGGGCTGGGCGCAATAGCAGTGATCGGTTCGCCCTTGAGAATTGGCTCCCAAGTTTTGCCATGATCTCGTGTCAAGAAGATGTCTTGTTCACTCGTGCGCATCACAATGGTCTCATCATTGCCGTGGGAGGTGTCGCTTCTTTCAAGATAATACCATTCCGAAAACCGATCGGCGTTGAAGTTGGTTTTCTCGACGGTGATCTCTCCCGAGGCGGGTGTCTTCACCGAGTCTGAGCATGGTCTTTCAATCTCCTTGTCTAGCTCTTCACCGCCCTTCCGCTGGCATTCATTGCCTGGAATCATTCGCCAGCCGGAGGGGCCCTTAAATGTGTCCTTCTCGCTCTTGCAGGCGCCCTCTGGGACCGCGATCGGCTGTGCGGGATTGCATTTGGTGCGATCGTCCGGATCCCGAACAAAGTTGTAGTCGCACTCAAAATCAGCCATCGTGCAGACGCACGGTTCAAATTCAGGCACAGGGTCTTTAAATTCCTCATCGATGAAGCATTCGGCATCAGCCTTGCGTCTCCTGAAGAATTGCTTGTGACCCATGAGACAGCTCGGTTTACCATCTTTATCGACACGCGCAGGCCAACGCTCAAAGTCATCTTTGCCGCATGCACGTTCATGCAAACCCTCAAAGTCGATTTTGAATATAACCCATTCGGTTTTCGAACCTGTCCCCTTCGCGCCCATCATGAGGAATTTGAGGGTGGTGGAGTCTGGGACCGTGGTGATAAACCTGGCGCGTACTTTTTCCGGAAGCTCTGCCTTCTTCCAGGTCTTCCCATGATCGATCGAGTATCTTATGTGGCTTGTGGAATCCTCGTCATCAACGGCGACTATAACTGCCCCCTGGTTTCCAAACTCGTACAAGTGAGCACCGTCCAAGCCTTCATACCATGTGACGCCAGCGTCATCCGAGACAAAAAGATCACCATCTTCGTAGTCTTTCAAGAACTTTCCGGTATTGCCAATTCCCATAACAATACCCGGGGCTGGGCTGGAGAAGATCCTCCCTGTTTGCCTTGCATCGGTAACTGAATGCAGATGCAGCCTCTTGTCGCCAACTTTGAGATCCTGGAAAGTCCGTCCGTCGTCGAAACTAATCTGAGAAATGATTTCCTTTCTAGGAATGGTGGATCCCTCGACATCCTTCCAGTTGTCTACAACGTTCACCAAGACGATCCCTTGAATCGACTGGACTTTCTCGAAGTCGACGTTGCCAAAGATATTGCGATTCGTGTGGTCAATATTCCGAGTAAAATAAGTGCCGTTGGAGTTCGAGGTGAAGAGGTAACCCATGGGATTAGTAGGTCGGGACCCGAGTACATCGACCTGCAAGCTGTAGTTGGTGCTTTCCAGGATCGTATATGCATCTTCGTCTATCCTGTGCTGTCCAAATTCTGCTCGATGCCACTGTGATGCGTCCTTTGTCACGTAGAGAGCCAACTCGTCCGTGCCCTCCGATTTCGCAGCTGCAACCAAGAATCCTTTGACCGCAGCCATGCTGATGATCCCAGTCACAGCTCGGCCATCATCAAGCGCAGGCTCGAGCTGATCTCCTTGGAAGAAATCATCGGACACGATGAGTCTGTTATCCTTTGGCCACGGGGAGTATAGCCCTTCCACGATACAGAATATCCGATCTCTTATTTCAGGAGCAAGCTCTTCTGCAAAGTCGGGGGCGCTGACAGCCCATTGGCAACCTCGGGTCATATCACCCAACCTCTTGGTCGTCTTGAAGTCATCATCGGTATAGAACGCCCGCTCGATACAGGCCAAGCCGAGACAGTGCTCCGCGTTCCAAATCACTCGCTGGGGGTCGCGGCCGTGGAAGCTCAACGGAGCGTTGCGAAATCTCGCAAGACCATCGCCATCAGACGAAAACTTCCTCCACGTCTCGCCGGTATCTGTTGTCACCCAGTGGTCCGAGTCTAAGCCGATGATATATGCGCGCTGGTTGTCGTAGGGATGCCGGTATACGTCCAAGGCATTTCCCGATTGTCCTTGATCATTGATCTCTTTCCACGTCTCGCCCGCATCAGCGCTGCGCCACACAATGCCGGTCTCACCATCGTAGCCGATGACGACGTCCGAGTCATCGAAATAGAAGACGTTTTCTAGCGGATTATCGAAGGTCGTAGCGGAGATGGTTGGACCATCTTTCTTTGCTTGCGTAGGCTGCGGAGAAGAGGTTAGCAACAGGAGGAGAGCGACCGACGAGGCGACTGCGCGACGACAGAAGGATCTTATTATCATCTTTGATTACCGCATCGAGCGGACTGAAGAGGTCGAATTACAGACAGCAGAACACCTGCAAAAGAAAAGCTTTGAAAGCGAAGCAAGAGTCGAACTGGACACAGTTGTCGGGATTGGAGAAACAGAATGGCGTTGCCTGCGATCAACAATTCTTTGAAGTTCGTGGCTCACGGGCACTTGGACCATCTACGAGTAAGAATCAGGGTCCCTACCCCGATAGGGGTAAGCGTCACCACCTTAAAACGCGGCTTCGACGGGGAGCAGCGTGCTGGAAGCTCCCTTGGCTCCCTATCTCCTTTTTAACTACAAGCACCTAGGGAGCATAAACGAGTGGCGGGCGGCAGAAGGTTGACCCTCCTGCCTTATAAATTTCAGCTATTGCACTGTGGGTGAAGGAGAGGGTATTATTGTTCGTGTTTCATCAAGCTATTCTCGCCTTTGTATCCGTTTCCCAGACTGCTAAATTTGGGCCAACCATCTCTAGGTCCCAAATAGAATGCCACCCAACCCGTCTGGATATGCAAGCAGCCGTGGCAGACTGCTGCCTCATTCCTTCCCTCTTCCCGGTTTCCATTCCCAGGTTCTGAGGCCCTTCAGTAGCTAAGCAATATTTCCAGCCCCGAACGCCAACGCTCAAATAACGCACTTGTCAGATGCAGATATCCCATGCGATTGCTTCATTAAGACCAAACAAAATGATATATGCCACTCGAACGTCAAATTTGTGGACTCATTTGAGCCTCAATTTTCGGAGGAATCGTTTCACTTTGGATTCCTCGGCGGGCAGTGTATCCCATATTGATAGAGCATTTCCGTCCACAGGGACATCAACTCGCTCTAATACAGGTTTGTTGGCCTTCTTTTGAGGGCCTGATTGCGCGACTTGTTCTTCTGGTGAACGAAGGTCTGGTCTCGTCAAAGTCATGTGTAGCGTCATCTCTCGGTCTGCGGTGACACCACGCGGATATGGCTCAGGCTGTCTTCGGATTGAAAACGGTCTCAGTCCTTTGACCCCGTCGATACTGGATTTGTGGGATGGGCGGTGCATTTGGAAAACAGGCTCTTCAGGTGTTCGAGGGTCAAACATGGTATCTGGCTCGTCAGCGTCGTCTCCATCGTCTCCTGATAACGATGGTGTGTCGTCATGGAAGAAGGTGCGGTTGAATTCAGGTCTCGGTTGTGGACTTGTCATAGGTCTGTTATGGTTCCATTGTTCTCTTTCTTCCACGGACGGAAACCCAAACTCGATGGCCTCGTCGAACTTTTGCGGCGAGGCAAGATAAAGCCTGAGCTTCATTCGAGCTGCAGGATCTTGATAATGCGTGGCTCGAGGGTCGATAGATGAGATGGACGCTTGAGACCGAAGATGTCTCAAGGAGAAGGAGGATGAACGTGTGTGGGGAGGTATAAAAGGCAGTGCCGGTGTTGGAGGTGCTTCGACCGGAGGACGTGAGGATGATGTCGAGGTCCGACCACGCCGTATGGAGAGGCTTGACAGGGAAGGATTTCGTCGTGAGCGACGCCGGATGGGTGCTGATACGGACGTTGTCCGCCGGTTTGTTTCCGCAATAGCTTCGTGATAGTCATCCAACTTGAGATCCAGATCTCCATCATCCTCCAGCCATCGAAACCCGTCCATTGAGTAGTCGCCCATGTCAACAGCAGAGTCAACCCTTGGTTGGTCTTTCAGCTCTTCACAGTCAACAACGGTGGCGTCATCAGAAACCCGGCGTTCAAACACGGCAGTGTGACCGGGATGCCAACTGCGGCGACGGAGTGTTTCGTCTGCGGAATCGAGGATGATTGTGTTTCTCTCTTGGGAATAGAACGAGCACTCTTCCCTCGAGAATAACTTTCTTTGGACGGCAGGGGGCAAGGAAGCGAACCAAGCGACCGTGGTTGGGGTGATATCTGCTGCCGAACAGCGCCTCCTCCGCAGTCTCTTGACGTTCAAGAAGTGTCCGGTCTGTGTAATTCCGTGGGTCAGTATGGTGAAAGTGTCGGAGGTTTGGGTCGTGAAGCCAACATTGTTTGTGGGATGAATTGAGAGACGGGAAGGGGGCCGTGAGAGGTTTCTGCCATCTTCGGCGAGTCTGAGACGTTCTAAACTACTAAAATACTGGTGCAACACGTATGTTAGCTCGTGGACCTGCAGAATAAGCGATCGAATGAGGCTGTTATTTTTTTCTAACGGTCGCAAGAGACAAGTCGCAAAGGTGGGGGAAGCTCTGTTGGATGCCGAGTAGTGTTGGTAGTGTTGGTGGTCCCTGCTTCGAGGTTGGAGGACCGTGCCGCGCCCAGGCAGCCTAAGGGCTCTTTATCTGGGCTAAGGTCGACATGCCTAAACTCCAAGTGTCCAAAGCCCGGAGTGCTGGCGTCCGGTAGTGGTGATAGCGTGGATTCAGTGTGTGTGGTGCCGGTGAATGATCACCAGAATGACGTGGGATGGCCCCGGAAAGGATGGGTCTTGTTTCCAGAGATGGCAGTGATGGGCATCCTCCTTGCGGGCTCGCATGCCTTTGGCCTGAAGATCATGGTGAAGATCCCGTTTCATCCACCATGGAGAATCCCTAGGCACCCAGCCTAGGGATGGCGGCAAAAGATGGTTGTTTGCAGTGGTGAAGTCGGATTTACCAGGAGACTCTGAATGTCTACCGAAATGAGGGAAAGAGAAATTGGACAGAGGCTAACTCACTTTTCGGATCACCACTGGAGGCAATGTATCGAAAGCCACATCATTGGGAAACGAAGGGCGTCGAGAGTTTCGCATCATTGTAGCAAAGGTTGCAGTATTGTTGGAAAACCTTTGGGCTAACAGTTATCGTGGTGTAATATTTGCTCCGCACTGGGGTTTCGCTGCATATTTCTCGTGTCTTGCACGCGTGTTTCCCCTCCCCAAGAGAGACGACTTTCTTCGGGTAGCTCAGGTGGCGGTCGGTCCGAAGATTGGTATGCGTAGGTCTCCCTTTAGACTTCGGAAAGCCCAAAGTGTGCCTGGAAGTGTGGCAGTGATCGACCCTAATTGCTGGATGTCCTTGTTGTGTACACGGTAGCCTAGTCTCTCGCTTGTGCACAGAGAGGCTTAAGTGGATGGACAATTGAGGAATATGGAGACCTGGGCTGAAATTAGGAAAGTGTATCTGTAGACAACGAATGACTATTATAGTAATAATAACAACAAGAGGTAGAAGAGAAGAAGATGTAACAAGGCGATTGGGGGAGGATGAGTGCAGCCATCTACCCCAGCTATATGTATTTTTCTGAAGCCTGACACTGGAGAAATGAGCATTTCTCAAACCGTGATGTGCGTGGCCCTGGGCTGAGATTAAACTCGACTCCGCGTACGGACATGGCAGCCCTGTGCACCATGCGGATGCAGTCTAGATACAAAGCCCTGCGACGTCTGGATTCGCCGTGGCGCTGCAGTTGCTCGTCTAGACCTTACAAGGTACGCTGTCCCTCCGTCCCTGCCTTGCCTGCTCATCCTCGATTGCTGACCTTGACGTACGGGATTCGCGCCATCGGCCGTGTTTGAAACGCCCAATCCACACGAAACTCTCCTGTTGGCCCGCTATCTTCCGCAAGGCGTCCTCGTGGTTCTTGCTAAGCGACACCAAGGTTCATGCCACAACGCGAAACCAAACCGACAGACGTGAGATGCCGGCGAACCCACCGAAGCCAGCAAACGAACTGCTGCAGACAGTCTGGAATCCCGCCTCCACATCAGGTAGCCGATATATTGTGCCACCAATTTATCTCACGAGCTCCCACCATGTCCTTTCATGCCAAAGGGTCTCGACATGGCGCACATAAAAGGCAGAGGACATGACGCCCCCGGAGAAGGGTAGAAGTTTGAAAAGATGACCCAAGCCAAACAAACCCATCAGTCAGTTGTGCAAGTCGACATGTCATATTCTTCGACGAGCTTCAACTGTCAAGATGACCCTTCGCTTCGAGACCAGATTTCCTGCGGTTCAGCTACTTCCTCTTCGGCAGACTAAAAGATTTGGTGCGGGCGTTTGGCGCCTGAACCCGCGTGGCAGGCAGGGATCCGAGAATATCTTCCTACCATCCCATGCACGGCATACTACAATTTGTGGCTGCAGAGAAGTCTCAGGTGTCAGGAGATCGGAATATCAGCAAGCGAAGAGGCGCACGGGAACGCCGTAAAAATTCCAGACCTGGTTGAACAAATTGCTGTCAAGCTGTAGCCGGATCAGTTTGAAATTTCAAGTCGCTGCCCCCTTCCAACACGCTGCGGTAACCACATTCGAAAGCTGCACAAGCTGTGCAACCATCTGAAGGGACAAAGCCAGGACGAATTGTTCGCGAACGCTGCCCTATCCTGGAAGGAAGAAATTACATCTCGGACTGACACCGGGAAACCTACGCACCAGGTTATCGATTCGCCTGGTAAGTTCTGACTGTATCACTATTTGTTTTGGGAAGTATCTCTGCTGCAGCGTCTCCGAGAAGGTGTCATACCACGGTACCTCGTACTTGTATCTGGCCAGCCCTTCGCACATCCTCGCCGCCTTTTATGCTATTTATTTCGGCGGTCGTTCTCCATCCCCACCCTTTCTTAGGTCAGAACGGGAAGCACTGATAGGGACCACTGACATCCAATACGAATAAATGGAATCTGGTCTACGTGGTAGCGCCCGTCATCGAAATGTCTCCTCAGCCCTGTGTCCCAGTTTGCGATTTATCAAGTTCAGGTCGTCGCTCTTTCTTGGCTTCCTGGGTGGACAACAATTCGCCAGACGCAGACCATTTAGCGAGATGCAGTAGCAAGCTCGTCAGGTACATTTCGGCTCGCAAAGAGCTAACCGGTACGAGGATTCAGAAGCGCAAGCCGACAAAACAGGCACTTATCCCTTTGTGATCTCAAATTAGCATTCAGCTCGTCCGCAACTGTTACAATTATATCCATAGCTCATCATGTAGGCAATTATTTCCGGTGTCTTTGATCAGGCACGAAAGGTCAAGGTGGGTAGTAAGCTCGCGGAGTGAGTTGTGGTGCGCAAACCTTGAAGAGTTCAATCCAGATTTTGGGGTAAAGCTACTGCTGGTTCTGGGAACGTCATCACTCGCCAAACTTTCTAGAGAAGTCAGGAAGTGTAGCCGATTCCCCTCGCCACATACAAAGGCTACGGAATAATTCATGGCAAAAGGGGCTCGACTCAAGTCTCCTGGTCCTCGATTTACTTTAGAAACGAATCGCTGTGGACTACTCGGTACTCCGTACAAGGTTCGGAATGTCAACAGGAGATTTCGACCAGTCAACCAGTACCTGTTCTCGTCATAGGCACGAGGAAGGGGTACCTTGGAGGTCGTCAAAAAAAGGGGGGAGCTCCAGGCCAAGACAAGACTACCATATTGCATCTCCCGTGGTTGTTTTAGGAGAGACGAGATCAACCAAGCAAAGGACATTTAGGAGATGCGCAGCAACAAAACAAGTACTTTAGTCTCTCGGACACCGTGCTGGTCATCAAAAGACTCCGAGAAGGGGATTTTATTTTAATTCCTAAAAAGTGTGCCGCAGATTCGGGCGTCCCAATGTGAACTCCGGTGACTGGGAATGCTAGGTAGGTCCGAGTGCATAAACAGTATAGAAGAAAATCTGCAGGTCTCTGAAATGTCCGGCCCCCGTGGCCAACCATGATGCGGTGCCTGGAACAAGGTCTCATTATTAATGGTGGGACAGAGTCAGCTGGACGCACTCCAAGTGGTGGTCGTTGGTGGCCTCTGAGAAATGGGTGGCGCCGGTTGACGAGGACGACGCTCAAATCGAGGCTGAGGAACCAGGGGAGGAGATGGGGGGGAGGGGGCCCCCTATTCCGCAACAAGCAAGGCTTCCCCTTACTCCCTCAACGTTGCTCGTGCGCCTGGGGGTTTCCTGCGCCGGCTAAGCTTCTAGGCTGGGCGCTAAGTGGCCGACATGGGCCTCACACCGTGTCTCGTGTGTCACGGTTGGCACCCTTAACACCCTTAGCACCATTGGCATCATTGGCATCGCAACCTTCCAAGCCAACGCCGCCGCGTTGGCGGCGCGGTTGACGAAACCACCCCCCGTGTCATTGTCTCAAACAAGTAGTCAAATCAACATCTGCGGGTTTTTTTCTGCACTCTCTCTCCTGGATTTTATTTCGATCGTCTACCACTCGCATCGGCACGCGTACTTCTCTCCACTACTGTACAAAGTAGAAAAAAGTCTTTCGTTCACCTTGTATCTTGCCATCGCCTTTGTATTAATACATACCTGCGCGACTCAGCTCCACCGCGCCTCTGGTCTTGCTTTCTCTGTGCCTCAATATCAACATCCCTACCATCCAAGATGCGTTTCGCACACGCGATAGTCGGCGCACTCTGCGCAGTCGTGGCATATGCACAAAACAATAATGCCATCAGCATTCCTGGCGGTCAAGGTACTCTGGACGTGACGGCAGGCCAACCCCTTACAATAGAATGGACCAATCCCTCAAGCGGCACGGTTACCATCAAGCTGCAGCAAGATCCCATCACCCCTGATTCCGGTGTGGTCCTGGCGTGTACGTGAACACCTCGACTGTGCTACAGCTTTCTACATTGGATATCTGCTGAACCTGACCCTAGCCAACATCCCTGCCTCTGCCCTGACCGCAACTCTTCAAATTCCTCCTGCGGAAGACGTCAACTCCCACGTCTACACGATTGAGATCATTGATGACACAAACCCCAACAACATCAACTTCTCTCCCAACTTCGGCATCCAAGGCGCTACTGGAACTGCCACTGGTGTCGCCACTGGCACTGCCACCTCCACCGGCACTGCAACCACCTCTGGCAGCACCGATACCTCATCCGGCACGACCACTGGTACGGACTCTTCAACAATTACATCGACGGACAGCCTCACCTCGGAAACAACCACAGCGAGCAGCAGCGACAGCAGCAGCAGCAGCAGCAGCAGCGAGAGCTCTGCGAGCACCACCAGCTCTGAGCAGACGACCACATCAACGAGCTCTGCTTCTCCAACCGAAACCACTCCGGCTCCAGATTCCAACAGCAACGGGGCCGGCAGCTTGAAGTTCCAGGGAAGCCTGATGGCCCTGGCGGTTGGATTGGTTGCTGCTTTGTAAAGTGTTCAAAGACCAATTCTGACACCCAAGTCCGATTCTCTTGTACAATCTTGACATCCACTTCACCTGCACGTGGAAATACTTCGCGGCAGCCTGTGTTTATAGCATCCCTGCTCAGATCCGGGCTTCGACTTTTATCCTAAACCGTTGTATTGACTTCGACAAAGAGGAGAAGGATCTTTTGGTGAGGTCGGGTGGCACTGAATAGCTCACGAGGTGACAGTACAGGGTTCGCGGAGCATAATGGGGCATGTACATGGATTTTCAGCATGGCGCTTGTTTGATCAAAAGGAGGCACCGGAGCTGGATCCTGGATAACAGGATGTTGCACTTTGCATAGCACTGAAAGGAATAATAAAACATGTCAATCGCGCAAGTGTTGTCTTTTTGTAAGTGCAATCCAACACGACTGTAGATTGGGGAACCTGGTGAAGGTGTAGGTGTATAAAGGGAACGCATCCCCTCGGAAAGGCTGCGATGAGAAGGAAGGGAGGCACGGAGGCACAGAGGGTAGGTACCTAGGGATACCAGGAAACAACAAACAGAAACAGAAGACGGCATGCACAAAAACGAAAGGGACAACGCAGACAAGGAATGTGGATAACAAGACACGGACAAGATCGTCGTTTTCACTCGCTCAGGCGCAGGCACA